TGTTACTTCAGGGATATAATCAATACTTCAAATACATTATTATGCCGTATACAGGCAAATCTCTAGATTACATAAAGGAGACTGTTATGAAAAGCGAATTTGCGTAAGTATTAGCCTGATAAACATTTTACGGATTGGATACGTGGATGACTACGCTTGCTTTAATTTTCATTACGTTTGTTATTGCATCTAATGCTTTGTAAAACACTGACCGCCTAAGAGGCGAGATCTCGAAGGCAAAAGAGGCAAATGAGACTTTGAACATTGACAATAACTTTAGGGTGAAATCATACCATGGCGAGGCCATAGTGTTTCTGCTTCACAGAATTTCCACCCTTTCCTTTCAGGCCCCATACAGCGATTCAGATCGCTTGCCAAACACATCTGGCTTTGAAAAATCTACACGAGTTAGGCTACATTCATCGAGATGTAAAGCCGGACAACTTCGTCGTCGGCAGGTCAGAGACAACCTTCATTCAGTTGCTTCTAACGACAAGGGTAGATACTAAAAAGATAGGAGGTGATTACTACCTGAAGGTAGAGAACGAGTTCATCTTTCTCTCGCTGTATGCTACGTAAATGCCTTTCCATACGTTTCTGGGCACAGCTCAAAGAGGAGATCTATGATGGCCATTATGGTGGGGTCGACGGCCTAAAATATGCTGTCTGCACTGGTAGGTGCCACCTCCATTGCAACCTAAGGGGCAGCAATGAGCACGACAAAAATAATACGCCTTACTCCACCCCTACGATTGACGTGAGTTGCTCCGTCAAGGCAAGTGTTATAAGAATAACACAAAGGCACCGCTGTTTTCTTAAGCTGCGACTATTCTCACAAAAGTTCAAAACGTATACGTACTGAATATATGCAAAATCGCTAACTGTCAGAATGATCCGAAGAAATGTCATTTCATAATGGACTTTGGCAATTACCGAAGTTCTGAGAAAAACGACTGCCAATCTTACCCAAGTAGAGAGCAGTTTGTAAGTTACTTTGTGTAATTTTCGTGCTAGAGTGAGAAAGTTTTGTGTCAAAAGAGCTACAAGTTGCCTAGTCTGTAGAAGTTGAAAGACAAAGGCTGGATTTCCAATTATTAGGTTGTGCGGGAAAGTTCTGCTCACCATTCTTTTTCAAACTACTTTTCTTTCTGTAGAGAGGAGTGTGAGATCAAAATTTGTACAGCAACGTTACTGCGGGGTCCTTGCCAGTGTTTGAGCACCTCATGGCTGCCATCGCTTCACTATGCAGGGAGACACGACGCAAAGTTGGACAATCGGCCATCTCAGACGCTACGACTTAACTTGGTTAATGGATTTTCTCGTCCGCATAACGATCGATTACGGAAGGCAACTTGCTATTAGAAGGGGCGATGTCTGTGGTAAACAATTGCAAGGGGAGAGAGATCAAGCTCATTGCGATGACGGTACGGCCTCGAACTTTTTGACGCCAAGTGCGTTGCACTGTCTTGGTGAGGGCCGGCTGTCGGACAAATTTTTCCCTCTGATCCACGATACCCCTTAGATCTCGTAGCTGCTTTGCGTACGCCTTGACCAAGGAAGCAGCTTCTTCATCCAGCAGTTTCCCGACCCATAGCTCCCTCAAGCTGAGGTTGCAGGTAACCCAAACCTCACTTCGTCATCAAAACTGTAGGCTCCCTAGGCTCCCGCCTTGAAGCGTCACTGTCGTGGTAAGGTTGCTCGATGATTGGGGGCATCGTGCTTATTCAGCTCCATCAATTTGGCATCTGCAGCTAACACGCTGGCGTCAGGGTGGTGGGTGAAATAGTTTGTGGAAGTTGTTGGATGGGTCGGATGGTAGCGGATAAAATCCTTGTGCATATTGCAGAAGAAGGAGCAAGAGGCAAGCGAGTGGTACTAACAGAGAGACCACTCCTTGTTGTATAAGAGCTTACATTACCGGTTACCACTCTTGGTAATGGGCAAGTAATTTGAGTTCGGAAAAGAGTGACAGAACTTTCCCGCCAACCTAATATTAAGATTGGCGTCCTCTACCTGCAGAACCTGTCATGTTGTAATGGCATTGGAGCACTTTTAGGGAATCACGCTATAAATTCATTGGAACACCGAAGTACGCCGCTCGTGCTACCCATCAAGGTCGCGTTGTAAATAGAAAAGAAGATATGGAATCGTGGTATTACATGGTGATTCCCTGGGCATTCTTCTTTTTTTAACTTCGAGAAGCCCTCCCTTGAAAATCTTATGGAGTCACCTAATGACTTCCTGGTCTCAACGCCAAAGTGAAAGTTATAAGGTCAAAGGAACTATTACTTGATGGAAAGATACTTATGGCTAGGATGTGTGCGAATTTCATGCTTTAGTGCAACCATACTCCACTGTATAAAAGTAGAGATGTCTGGTTTCCAAATGAGCACCAATTACTGACTCTACACACAGAAAAAGCACGCAGAAGCGCAACGTGTAATACGACCAGGCATGGCAGAATGTTGGCTTACCAACAAGGAACTGACCGTAGTCGTGCACCAGTATCCATTCTTGGAAGACGACCACCTGTAAAGTCCACAGCTATTGAGAAGCCCTTCTTAGGACGGTTCAAATTCATTTTAAAAATTGCGCTTGCGCTGTACGCTCATCTTTCAGGATCATGTTCATTGCCAAGTGCGAGATGTATGTGTTCTCAGCTGCAGAAGCATGCCACGTTTTCCTGTGGAAAGTGCACGGGAACGGGCCAGTACCGTAGTGATATTCCTGACTCTACACACAGAAAAAGCACGCAGAAGCGCAACGTGTAATACGACCAGGCATGAGCCTGACTATAGCTAAAAGCGCTACTTATCTGCGCCGTCTGACTTTTGTTCGGTTGCGTACTTTCAACAGCTTGCCGTGGTATCCGTTGCGCTACCCTGGTGTTGTACGTCATCCAGTAGCGGGGTGAAGTACGAAAAGGCACAGCTACCGCAACCCTCCAGTTACGTTTCTCCGTGATTTTGAATGATGAAAGTAGCACGCTTCTGTCCACTCCGCACTTGGCAACGATACCTCCTGCAGATGGAGCACAATTTACCTTTAAAAGTTTTAATTATACCTTATCCAGCTCAAAAAGATGCCCCGGACTGGACGCTTGATTCAGTTGGATAAGGAGCTGCAGAGTCAGTTATTCTCGTAGATATATGCCCAGTAACGGAAATTATCAAGGATCACGAAGTGCTTTCACAGTACCGTTGGGTATCACCTTCACTTGAAGGGAAAAGTTCGAAACCTAGTGCTCCTCACCAAGCTCAACAGATCTAAGTTTTTGCCCTTGAATAGCTTTGGCTTAGTTCGAGCCTTCTAGAAGCTATCGCTTTCTGAGCTCATGGTTCCCATTGCTCCTACGGTAGCACCGTGATTTTTG